CCCCCCCCCCCCCCCTTGTCATATTAAATGAACTTTCCCTTAATCATTGGCTTTGAAAATATATTCCTTTTTTTAATCAGATTTCTTTTAGCTGCAAGAGTAAGAAAAATATATATCTAGTTGGATTTTTATGAAGGTTACAGCCGAAACAGAGCTCTCCCATCAAACAGTTTTCTCTTTCAAAAAGTTTTCTTCTCCTAAAGAAGTCAACATAACAGCTAATACTGCAGCCATTGCTTTTTTTTTTCTCTTTCTCCTCACACTTTCTATTTTTCCTTTCCTTGTTCTTTTCTAGGGGGATTTTCGGGCTCACTTGGCTTTTGGTCTTTTTCATGTCATAAGACTGCAATTTTCGTTCGGTACGTTTTCAAATATCCAGCAAGGTAATACTTTGGCTTTTACGGCTACCTATACATTAATCTTCGTTAACGTACAGACATCCTCAAATATACAAGTTTCACTCTTTTAAAGCTTTTTGTTTTCCTCTTGTTAAAAGTGAATTGGAGAGGAGGGGAGAATAGTTTTACTAATTCTTTACGATGCACAACCATGCAGAGTTTTTGAGCGGATAAGCTCCAATGCCTATGAATTTGATAGGAGGGGAATGCGTTTTCATTTAAGGAAAAGTGTTGTTGCCTTCGCAAAAAAATTATAAAGGTTAACGGAACATTCATCGCATAAGAACTTTGGTTCCAGCAAACGTTTGTTTCAAGAAAGCGAAATAGTAAAATAGGGAGGCAGGTTTTTAAGGGAAAAATTAACTCTGGGTAGCCAAAACCATGCGTATGTAAAAATATATTGTAAGAGTCTATGGAGAAGTGGAAATTCCCCACGCAGAGCATAATTTACGCAACTCAGTGAAAAGGTTAACATGTAGTAAGTTGAAGTGTTACACAACGCTCATCCGAAGAGAAACATAGGCTCTGTAAAAAGAGGTGAGCCATCAGAAGCTATGTCAGGCAAGCCCATTAATGTCGTACATATATATCCAGTACTTTCGCTCCTTCATTGACCGCTGCAGTTATTTTCAGACATATAGGATCCCATGATCGTTATGGAAAAAGAGGTCTTTAGACTTCATTGACGAAAATGGACGAAAAAAAAAACTGGTCAAGGTTCAGGTTGTTCCCACAAAAGAAATGCAAGGAAGGAATATAAACGCCTCGAGACAACAGAGCGATTACTCTACATATTCATCTTACCAAGAAATGAAGGGCTGCCGCGGAGAATGCAAACTAAACATACAGATACACTAAACTAAATCTGAGACTCGCTACAACAAGAAGATAAAACTGGAACAATCACACTGCGCTTGGTTTTCTAGATTTCCCTTACAACAGATTTGGCCAGGTAAATGAAAAGCGCAGAGCGTTAAAATCTAGCAAAACCAAATAGACGGAGTCCTTAGTAGAATATTTATTCACTCACATTGTAAAGCACGGAGTCATAATCCTAAACGAAGTTGCGCATGTCGCGAGAAAAAAAACAGAATCCCTGTTTTCGATCACATATATTGTGTCCAAGGTTTGAACGTAACTACTTCACAAAACTCGATTACGTACGGAAAACGGGAATAGGTGGGAAACAGTTTGTACTGATACAAAGCTATCGTCCGTTGCACACATTTAGTCTCACGTTATCCTGCAGCATGGATGCAAATTAAGTAGTTGACCGAAGGTGAGCAAAATATCAAATCAAACTGTTCACCATCAGTCAGCTACTAAATTTGAATCCATGCTGCACATATAAAAAATTACAAGCCTGTAAAACTACTAAAATACTTACCGCATTTCTGATATTGCGCAAAAAAATCAATTATTGTTTTTAACCATGTTAATACAGACTGACTAATAATTTCCCTTTCAAATACCGTCATAGAAAAAAAAGTAAAGCTTGGAAAACAGAATATGAAGACAGACAAGTGGCTGGGTAACTTGTGCAGAGCCGTCAAGACGAAACACTTACACTGGTGTTTCTCACACATTAAGTCGGCGTTTTTTAAATCAAAACTACCCAAAATACACTAGCGATGTTGTATCAAAAATTCTTGAGAAAATAAAACACAATTATCAGATGTTTTGTCAGAATTTGTGATCTTCCTGAAATTGGGCTCCCTTTGGTGAAAGTTGAAAATCTTTATTGCCAATTTTTCTCATGTTTCACCGAACCGATTTTGGCGGATTTTTAGTATGTTGTTAAACAGCCATTCAACTATTAAATGGCGTTGAAAAAAATTCTTTTGCAATTAGTTTTAGCCAGGCTAAAACTCAGGTTGTAACTTACGACTATAGCACTGTTCGTTTTAACTGTACCACCGTTTATATTTAACTCAGTAGTGACTTAAGGGCATTTGTTATTTTTTTTGGAATTTTTTTGTGTGTGTTTTTTTTTTAGCGGACGGGTTTCTTTCCTGATCATGAATCTTTACTTAATAAGTTCTATTTGAGGTATAGTTTTTCTTTCTGTCAGTTACTATAAGATACATAGAGGATATAACCTGGCCGCGCGGAGATACGAAATTTCTCTTCGAGTGTTGAAAAATATTTCACGAGAGAGCGCAGCGAATGAAATACAAAACCATTTCACTTTAATAGTTTTTTGGTGTGAAAGGCGCGATTTATTTTGAAGCCCTAGCAACGGTGATATTTTCACATAAAGATAATATGTTATTTTCACATGTGAAGATATCAAGTTTTCGGGCGAAAGCTCACCTGTTATTTTATTGGTGTTTATATAGTAAAACAAAGTCTGTAACAATGCTAATGACTTCAAGAACTTTGATAACTAAGGGCCGGTTTACATGGAGGTGGGGGACCCCAGGTAGGTGAGGTAACCCGGCCGTCCATATAACCTCTCATTTTAATGTGATCACGTTTACATGTTAGGTGGGGTAACTTGCCACATATTACCTCACCTACCTGGGGTCCCCCACCTTCATGAAAATAGGCCCTAAGTAATCAAGTACAGCGAATCTTATAGTTGGACTTTTTTTTAAGAGTGAACTATTGTTGGACCCAAGTCTGGCTGTGTCTTCCTTGTTTGTTTCTAGGGTATGCGTGTACACTGATGCTACTCAGCGCTTTAGTTTTCTAGTTCTTTAAACCATTTATTGTTGTCAACAATAGGGCTATTCTCACATTTGGAAAATCTTATTGCGAGACTTGATCTAACAAATCTTGAATTTTTCCTACTTGGTGATATGAATGCCGATATGGCCTCAACCAATTACGACAACAATGTCCGTCATCTAATAAACGTTGCTGATATTGATCACCTAGCATGTTAAAAAGCGCACTATAAATGAATATATATTATGTCGCAGTATGAAACTTTGGAATGCTGTCCACATTATGAGTAGTATAGGGCGCATAGCGTAACCTACACCACTTGGGAAGCTATACTTAGAAGTAAAAAAAGGTCGATACGAAACCTAATACGATCCTAAAATACATAGTGATATGAATCTCTCTACTCAAAAAGCCAATTTAAGAACGTCAGCAAGCTTGTGTTTCTAGATTTCTAGAGAAAAAACAAAAACCTAAAAACTGAAGTCCATAGCGCCCTAACTAAGCATTTATCTTAAATGTTCTGGCAATGTTTAAAGTGTTTGAGATGACCGACTTCTGCATCCGCTCAAGTACGCTCCGTGCTCTCGCTCCAAGTAGCTTCCTCACCGACTTCTCTAGGTGTTTAGAGTAACCCCCCAGTACGTCAATTATTACGTTGTACTGTTCAACCCTGTAACCATTGTATCTCTGCTTCAGCTCCCACATCATGGGCCCATACTTGAGTGTCTTTTCCTCATCTTTCTTAGCTCTACTCTCAATCCATGGGCAGCTCATTTCAATTGTGCAGACTTCTTTCCTCTCGTGGCTGACAAGTCGCGCGTCGATCCGATTTGCTCTAACTTCGTGGTGCTCTGCATAGATGGGAATATCCCAAAACGCCTCACTCGTGGTGTTCTGGTAGGCTGGTTTTGGCATCACCGGTGAGTACCATGGTGGAACCTCTTCCATTAACCCATGCTCTCGCAGGAGCTCAAAAAACAGAATCTTCAAAGCTGCATTATGCCTGTATAGGTACTTGGTTTGTGCCAGGGAGGAACATCCAGCCAGAACATGTGCAACGCTCTCAGCTACCTTCCCACATAACCTGCATAGAACTTCGCCGTCGGTGGAGGTTTGCGTCTTCTCCTTTGTGTAGAGCTTCGTAGGTAACAACTGCTCATACAATTCATACATGCCCGCGATGGTATGTGTAGGGCATGTAGCTTCCTCACCGATTATTATTATTATTATTATTATTATTATTATTATTATTATTATTATTATTATTATTATTATTTTATTTATGGCCTCCACCAACTCATTTCTGAGCCTACTCGGATAACAGATAAATCATCTACTCTGATTGATTTCATTTATACAAATTGTCCTGAGAGGGTAGTCTGCTCCGGAGTCGCCCATATCAGTATTAGTGATCACAGTCTTGTTTATGCGTTTCGTAAACTTTCTATTAACTTCCGAAAGGGTCACACTTCAATAACGAACAGAAACTTTAAAACTTTCCATCGTGCCAAATTTCGTAACGATATCTGCAATGAGAACTGGGAATTTTTGGCTCCAGCTGTTGATCCAAGCAAATGTGGACAGAGTGGAAAACCAAATTTTTACAAATTGTTGACAAACATGCTCCGATTCACCTTAAGCGCGTTATATCTAAAAATTCTCCATGGATTACTGCTGGTTTGAAAGAACGCATGCATAATCGTGACGCATTAAAGATCAAAGCAATCAAGTCGAATGATCCGCAAGATTGGGCCAATTTTAAAAGAATGCGTAACAAAGTTAATACTGAAATTAAAACTGCTAACTAATTATTTTACAATAATAAGTTTACCGAAACTAATGGCGACCCGCGTAAAATGTGGCAAATCATCCACGATCTTACATCTCGTAAGGCCGTTAATTTATCGATTAGAGAAATAAATCTAAATGGTACCTCTATATCTGAATCATCCGACTTGTCGAATGCCAATGGTCATTGCTCATCAATAGGATCTAAACTTGCTAATGACATCCCATTATCTGATAAAAATGACCACTGTCAACAATAGATTCGAGTTCCGCCCTACTGATAGTGAACAGGTTTTAAAGCTATTGAATAAACTAGATAAGTCTAAAGGGGCTGGAGACTGTTTCTTGAAAGTCCCAATAACTATTCGGGCCCTTAAAGCTGTTTTATGTTTGCTGGATTTGAATTCAAGATCAATGCTTCAATAATTTTAAAAATGATAATATGAAACGATCAGTTAACAAAACAAAATCGTCCCGTGTGAGCTAGGAACTTCTCTACTATTCAACAAGTTTTGATTTCAAAATTTGCCTTCGGACCCGAAAAGTTACCGGACCTTTTGAGAAACGGGCTCCTGATCTCGATAAGCTATCAAGTCGGCTTATTCGTGAATGTGCTGACCTTATTTCGCCATATATCTCAATTATTTTAAATTGCTGTTTAACTACCGGCACATTCCCTAATGACTGGAAATTGGCCAAAGTTGTTCGTATATTAAAGCAGGGCGATAGAAGTGATATGAACAATTATCGCCCAATTTCTGAGTTCTCAGCAATAGCAAAAGTCTTCGACAGAATAGTTTATAATCAGCTTTCTTCCTTTTTATCCGAAAATAATATTTTGTCAAAATATCAGTCTGGTTTTCGATCCTTTCAATCAACTGTAACCGCTTTGCTCGAAGCCACTGATAATTGGGCCTTTAACATAGATCGTGGCTATGTTAACGCTGTTGTCTTTTTAGATCTAAAAAAGCATTTGACACAGTCAATCACTCTATTCTATTATACAAACTATATTCATATGGAGTCAAAGGAATTGCCTACGAATTGCTTTCTTCTTACTTAGAAAATCGTACGCAAAAATGTGCTGTCAATGGTGTCCTTTCTAAAAGCTGCGCTTTAACTTGTGGGATTCCCCGGGGGACAATACTGGGACCTTTGCTGTTTCTCTTATACATTAATGACTTACCTATTTGTTTATCAAATTCGCAACCAAGAATGTATGAGGATGATACTCACCTAACATATGCTGACAATGACATCTGCTCCCTTGAGGCTTCTTTAAATCAGGATTTGTTAAATATAAACAATTGACTCATTAACCTATGCCACTGATATAAATATTATAAGGCAAATAAAGGGAGATGTATGTAAAGAATCAACCATAAGAGGACACAGAAAAAACCTGAGCCCCAGATATAATTGGCTCATTGCCAATAAATTGACTCTCAATATGACAAAAACTGAATTTATATTAATCGGATCAAGAAAAAAATTGAATAGTCTATTCGTTCTCCTAGACTTAGAAATTAATGGTACACAATTAAACAGAGTCGGTTTTACCGAGTCTAAAAAAATCTCTTCTGGTATTGGATCTATTAAACGAATAAGTCAACTGTGTTCCTCCTGTAACTCTACATAATATCTGTCATGGTTTAGTTCAATCGCACTTCGACTATTGTAGTGTTGTTTGGGGTAACTGTGCCAAAACATTATCTGACAAATTACAGAGACTTCAAAATCGTGCTGTCCGCGTCCCTACCCATTCTAGAAATGATGCTGACACCAACCAACTATTCAAAGAATTAGGCTGGGACAATTTAGAAACTCGACGTCAAAAACTAAAGGCTGAGATGGTCTATAAGTCCTTAAACGGCCTCGCACCGAATTATTTGTTCTCGAAATTCATTCAGCGGAGTGATGTGATTACTTCTTACAATTTGCACGATTCTGATAATAAGCTTGCAATACCATTGCCACGTACTAATCATTACAAAAATAGCTTTGCTATAGTAGTGCAGTTTCTCTGGAACAATGTACCCTCAGCTGCTAGGCAAGCAACATCTCTGACTAATTTCCGAGGATTCTTAATTAATTCGGACACGGCATTCATGTACTTTTCTCTAATAGTTAGCAATTTTTTTTTTCGTATTAAAATATGTAGCTTTATATTAAATTGTTAATGCCTGATGTATTTACCGTGTTTTTAAATAAAGATGATGATGATGATGATGATGATGATGACGAGTGGCGGATCTAGGGGGGGTACGCTCCCCCCCATCCCCTATTTTGGGTAAAAAATAAAATCGCAGAAGGAAGAAAACGCGGCAGGGCAAGCAGGGCAACCTCTGACATACCAGGTGAGCTTTAGCGCGTAAACATGATATCTTCATGCTGTGAAGATATCATAACATGATATGATATGGTATGATAACATTTTCCTTTTGTCTCTTTAACGGCCCCTTTAACTACAGTTAAATTTGTTGGTGAATGATCGAAGCATCTTCGCATCTTCCTCTGTTGTCTTCAGAAAACGTCGGCAATCTTCGGTAATCTTCGGAAAACCGTCAAAAACGTCGTCATTAGTATGTTTATATAATAAACAAAATAATACATGGGTTCTTGTAGATATGCAACCTCGTCCCCAGGGTATTATCGCTTTCCAATATGGCGGGCGGCAAGAGAGAAGACCCTGGCACACAGCGAACTAAAACGATCGCTGATTGGTGCATTCCATGGTGCGTTCATACCTGCGCTCTCATTGGTTTACTCCTTCCAAAACAAAGATGGAGGCCCTTTGAGGGCTTTGAGGAGACTGATAAGTGCTTTCTTCAGTGTTTGAGACCTAAAATGTGGGCCGAATTCAGGTCTGATTGCTGGAAAACTGTGACTGTACCGTTGGAAGGCAAAGATTCGAAGATAGTCGGCCGATTTAATTCTTGCTTTCATCGGTGTTCAGCATGTGTTTTAAGGTACACGCGATCGAGTTTTGGCCAATCCAGCTGCTTCATACATTTACAAATGAGATATCTGAAATGATAATCGCTGGAATATATTATAAGGCATAGAGGTATTTCTGTCGCTCGTGCTATTTGGTCTCTGTGGTCTAAATTACTAAAGATTTGTCTCTTTAATTCCAGTTTTGTCAAAGAATACTTGCAAGGCTTCAGCTTATCAATAAATTTGTGCTTTGTCTCGACCAGTTTTTTCTTTAGTGAAACTTTTTATTTCATTTCATCGTAAAATACATGGGCCTAACCTGGCCTTCTTTTAAGTTTTTTCCACTGTGATTTTATCCACTATGATTTTGAAGGAGGGTAAGGAGCGAGAGAGGCAGAATTGTCGAAACAAAAGTAAAAATTGAGGCCAAACAAAGTGTCGCCAGCTGCCTTTGATATTTTTTAATCCTGACTTTTCATTTATTCAGTTTTTAGTGTCAAAATAATGATAATTTATTCTTATTAGCTCATTTCATCGGCAGGAAAATACAGCTAAATACAGAGACATTGGGAAAAAAACTGTTTTCTTTCCTCAGAAATGAAAATGTAACGGATGATACGCTGCGACTGTAGGAGAAGCCAATTGTCACGCGGCTTAAACTATTTGTGGCGGCGAAATTCCGTGTGAGCGGGTATATTTTACTGGTCGATCATGAATCAACTGTGATCACGAAACTAGGAGCTAGTCCTTGATGGTGATTTTATTGACGATAATCGAACCGTAAACTGAAATATAATGCAACGTAACAAATAATT